CTTGCAGTAGCATGTATATCGGAAGAACGGAGAGAGTCCTTACTAAATGAATCTTTGAGCATGTACCAAAAAGCCTGTTATTGAGAGGTAGAAAGCTACCAGCCAGTGCCATTGGCAAGCACATACTCGATACAGGTCATGCCGTTGACCCAAACATATAGCTTTTAAGGTAATCAATAAACGAAGAAATAGTATATTCCTAAGTTATACAGAAGCAGCAGCAATCCGTCGACTGAAAGGAGTTTGTGGTTCACCTTATATTGCCTTGATGAGTTGTTCTTTTCCGACAACTTTATTAGCTATTTTATTCTTTTATCTTACTGTCTTACATACTATTCTCAAACATTATTCATATTTCCATCATTTCTGATTTACTACAACCCACTTTATTTTCATGTTTGTTAGGATATCCTTTTCCATTCGTCTGCCATTAACTCACATACTTTGCATACCATCTTTGTTTTTCTCTCCTCCCGTCAGAATTCCTACCACCTTGAGCTGTAATCACATTCCTGTACTACTATCACGTTGTATTTTGCTTTGTGCTTACTGATCAATTTTAAAGTTTGACTTGTTGTGACTTGTTCTTTGTATTGGTTGTTTAGCTTGTGAACTTTATCATTCATATGTGTGAATTTTTTTGAGGGAGTTGTGGAGATTTGGAAATATTTCAAGTTGTTATTCATCGTAGACTGACATCATTTGGAGGAACAAAGGAAGCCTGGGAGCACTGGACAGCTGTTTCGTCCTAGTATGTGACTCCTCAACAGTGCGCGCCCACGACCCCGCCAGGGATCGAACCCACGACCTTCAGGTTCCGCGGCCAGCGCGTTGCCATTGAGCCACTGGGTCAGAATCCAGTGCTCCATATTTCCAACTTCTGTTTTAGGAAATCTCGAGGTGAAGAAAGTTTATACTTTTATTCATAGGATGCCTTGTAAATACTTTGAATCAATCAATTTTTGTACATGACAATGTATTCTCATCCATTTCTTTCTTTCTTTTCACTAGTTAACTAATTTCGATTTATCTTCAAGTCCCATTTATCTCGGTGGTTACGATTTTCGGGGCCAACCAACTTCAGTTTATCTTCCTGTAAAACGAGGTTTAGATGGAGCTATTCAAAGAGTAAGTTTAGATTGCTTTGATTCAGGATTGTTAATGATTACCATCGTTTTGAATTATTTTTTACATTCAGCAGCACTGGGAATTTGTGTAAGTTAGTGTTGAATTTAATTAATACTCTATTATAAACTTTATTTTTTCTAAGCTAAATAGACATTTACTTTATATCTAATCCTATTGGTTCAACGTTTCACTGAAATGACTAGTTTTCTCTAGAAAAAGTAACTGTTGGTCTTACTTCTCATTTGCTTACCTGGGCTTAATTAAGAGCTGTAGGTAATCAGGGGTGGGTGTCGATATTACTGAATTTTGTACAAAATAAGATATTCGTGACAATTAACTGGTAGAAGATGGAACAATTTGTGGTACGAGTTTTACGTTGAAGATATACATGCTTTGGAACGCTCACTGTGTACTTTCCATAAGTTTCTTAACTGGATGATCTTCTAAGCTAAGCATGAGAACGGACTAGAAGAGAAAAACTTGAGGACTGTGGTAAATTATAATTCCATGCTAGACTGTTTATTTGATGGGGCACAGAGTGATGCAGTATTATTTACCAGATGACGATTCGAGCAGAATTTATTGTTCATATTCATACCAAAGAATCATTTGACTTTCATGCTTCTTTTCTTTCAGACTTCCTTCACTCAGTAAATAATACTACATCACTATGTGTCATACCAAATAAACAACCTAGTCTGGGACGAGAACGGACTTTAAATGTGTTTGTGCGGGAGTGAGGAACCCGTTACAGCCTAGTAGGGTCAAAAAGTGCGAATCAATGAGTTATGAACACTCATCTGCTAAGAAGTGAACTCATGAACGACCGTCTTCAACAGATCCGTATATCCCAGCAGAATTCATGATGGAATGGCGCACACGCTATTTGCTGTTTAACTGATGTTGTAAATCTTCCCATATATCAGTCAGGACATGTAGATGGATGTGAATGTGAGCTTGACTGATAGAATGTGGAAATAATCGACAGATGAAACTGGAACGAAGTTAGAGAATTCCCAACGAACTGGGATTCAGGTTATTCTCAAGGCATAAAGAAAAAAATGAAAACATTGACAAGCTATAACTTGGCATAGCCGTCAATCGGTGAGAATATCTCAACCATAACGCAGTACATCTCAGTATTGAGTCAGTCAGCTTAGCAGTAATGTTTCCAACTTGGTCAGTAGGGTTAGATCAACTACTGAGCGTTGAAATCTACACGAGTTATCATTCAATTACTGAATAGTATAGTATTGTGTTGTATTTGTATTTCTAACTAATAAGATAGATATTTTTGTCGAGAAAATTGTAGCATTAAATGATATTAAGTAAAAAATCACTTAAATTTAGGCGACACCTGTATGATTTTGAGTAAATCTTACTCACTTCTGGGGCGGTATCTAGATTCTTAAGGTCTTGTGACAAGTACAACAATGTCCATCCGCTGGCCGAAAATTCACTGGTCAAGGTGTAATTTCAAGACACTGATGAACTATTAATGAAGTGGAATCAGTATCAAGAATCGTTTACATTCACTTTTTTAAACTCATAACTGCGTACCACGATTTATTTTCAGACTTCCAAGTGATTTAACTCTTCTAGTAGAGTTACTAATTTACAATAAAAATCTTCAATAAAAGAGATAAGAGGGCGTAAACTATCTGAATCATGTAATATGTTTGCGAAACACACTTCGAACAATCTGATCACACACGTACTTGTCATAGTCATTTATATGAAAAATTACAAAGAGGGAGATAAGGCGTGAGAATATAAAGTAGGTCAAGTAGGGAGGCTAAATTAAAGACCGAAATAACAATGAAATCAACAGAGTGAAATTGGTGGTACATGGAACCTGACTTCAGAGTTGAATCCACCAAGAGAGGTGTAATGTGATTTATTTTTGAATACACAGAGTTGGTATGAACTTCCTAATAACTAGGGCCTCGACATATTTGAGGACCCGTCCATAACACTTTTTAAGTCATAAATTTATGCAAGTAGGGGCCTTGAGGCATACTCCAAAGTGGTTTCAAAAGCGAATCGAATCACTTGAACCCATAAACGTTGGTAGCAGACGTCTGAGTACTTCGACTGTGAAATATATCTTTGAGACAGGTCACTGGAATAACATTTCTACATCCCCAAGACCTAATTACAAAAAGTGTTGCGGACGGGTCGAGGCCCTAGTTATTAGGAAGTTCATACCAACTCTGTGTATTCAAAAATAAATCACATTACACCTCTCTTGGTGGATTCAACTCTGAAGTCAGGTTCCATGTACCACCAATTTCACTCTGTTGATTTCATTGTTATTTCGGTCTTTAAATTAGCCTCCCTACTTGACCTACTTTTATATTCTCACGCCTTATCTCCCTCTTTGTAATTTTCATATAAATGACTATGACAAGTACGTGTGTGATCAGATTGTTCGAAGTGTGTTTCGCAAACATATTACATGATTCAGATAGTTTACGCCCTCTTATTGGTTTGTCAAAATTTTTAAAGGAAACTAGTTGTTTTCAACAAATCTCTTCTTCAGACCTTTGAATCTGAAAGTACTAATTATTACTGGAGGTTTACAAAATATTGATCAATGTCAGGTTTGTGTTTCAATGCTAAACTTAAAATGAGAGCGGCTACCATGTGCATATTCTTGGATGAGGCAATGATCCCCATCTCCTCAGTGATGGTTTGTGTTGTTTTCTAGCTGCCTACACCAGCAAGCCACTGCTCTAACAATACTGAGACAGATTTATACTACTATGGACTCAGTAGTAAAAATTAGCATTGGCTCTCAGTGTTCATTGTGATAAAATTTGAAACATCGACAGCTGAACAGCTGAGAAAAATCAGTCAATGGAAATATAAGTAAGCAAATATTTGTAACTATAAGGATTCAGTGTTAGCCAGTGAGCGTAATACTAGAAAAAACAAGGAGAAACTGACCGACGTTTCATCCTTTTCTATAGTTCTGTAGCTGATTACCTTCCACGATGAACTTCACCCTCATTCCAGTTGGTCCTCCCAAAAACCATTCAAATGAATCTTAGTTTCTAACTCAATTATGATTGACTTCAGGACGGGTTCCCAGAAGTTTTAACGGAAAGTTAAGACCCTTAGGATCGAACACGTCAGAATTAATGAAAATATCTATTGATGAACTATCCCGAACTTCAGCTGAGTAGCTCAATGACAACCTGCTGACTATGAGAGCTAACGGTCCTCCATTTGATACCAGAACTCATTTCTTAAATGTTGTCTGGTTGTTAATCCACAGTTAAAGTTGTGATGAATTAAGTCAGGATTTTATAACTTACTGGAATATCAAATATATACCTTTAAGTGGATAATAAGAATGTTATTACAGTACTTTAACTGTAAAAGTAATCATTTTGCTTAGGTAGAATCACTTTCGTCATGCCTTTTTCTACCCTTATAACTCCACAGATCAATATAAATGACGCTGAAGTAGTTCTTGCAGGGCCTTCTCTTGCAGATATGACGAATACACCTGAAGAGATGATTAGATCATCAAATTTAATCGAAAAATGGGTCAATGTGTCTCAATGGCAAGGTGCACCGTGTGGTCCGGAATATTCACCGTGTCAGATGGAACAACCAGATAATATCTGTCGTCCAAATATTCAACGTGCTACATGTGCGTGTACAACACCATTGCAGTTAATGCATATGATGAAGGGAAGGCTGGATGAACAGATCGATGAAGTTGAAAAACAAGCTTGTCTACAGCGTAAAGTAAGCAAAACTTTCTGTTGTTATTTTATGGTACAGCATGTATTAATGAAAACCTAATGAATGCTTAAAGTATTTCGTGTTGTTTTAGATATCTGAAAATATTTAACCGAAAGTCATAGATAGCAAAAATAATTCTGACGATTAGTGTTCAAAGTCAGTTACCTGGAATCCTGACATGATCTAGATCCTGTCGTTGTTGACTGTGCGAGATCTGATGATAAAGGCTGGAGTTCCCGAGGAAATACCAGTTTCTATATGGTTTCATATTCATCTTCTTGATGAGTGGCAACAGGTGCGAAACATAGATTGAGCAGAGCTTCCTGCTGATGGACACCTAACACCAAACTACCGTGTGCTTCAGTGTCGCGTCATTTTGCTTAGTGATCACATTGTAAACCTGAAGTCAATAAATCCCCATAAACCCCCGAATTGAATTATTCTAGTGCTCATTGGTGACTAGCTTCGAGAAGTGATTCCAGAAGTTCCAATAAGAAGTCGTGGCCAATGGAGTTAACTAAGTCAAATGTGAGATCAGTTACTCAGTGACGGAACTGGGTGGAGGTTGAGCTATATTGTGAACTGATGGAAGTAGGAAATATGGACTATAGGACACCAACCCAATGGCTCAATGGTAACGTGTGGGCCGCGGAACTTGAATGTCCTGAGTTCAGCCCCTGGAGGGGTCGTGGGTGCGCACTGCTAAAGAGTCACAGGCTTCCGATGATTCTCCAACTGATATCAGTTCATGATGAATACCAACCTGGATGCAAGTCAGTTGGTAAACGCAGTTATTGAACACGTTACGTCATACAGTGATACTAGTTTCATCACAAGGAATAAGTTACTGAATGCAGTTTCCCACCACTGACTGAATATTATTGGTATCTGATCACCTATGAATTCTATTTCGACAAATCTAGGTTTCGTCTCCAGCTTAACCGATCTGCATTCACTGAAATTTTCGCCTCCACACCTAAAATTTTACTTTTCAGGATAACCATTCCTCCTCCTCCATTTTGTGTGCTTAGCACAGTTCTCTATGGTGTGATGGTCCTAACCAATCCTATTTTTCTAGTTTATCAGGTCAAAAGCTGTTAAAGTTGGGATATTGCGCATTCCAGATTTCCTTACGATAAACATAACCCTGATGATTTTTACCATTTATTTCTGAAAGTGTACATGACTTATTGTTTCATTGTGTGTTGGACACTCATTCACTAACCGATTCGCGTTAACAAAGGCATCTAACACCAATAAAATGAGCTGTAAAGTCTAATACTAATTCGGCTGCGTGGGTTGAATTTATTTGGGCACACCATTGATGAGCTGCCCTGCAAACTAGCATTTAGACCACTCTGATCTGGCTAGCAAAATCTACTGATCGGCATGAGTGTTTTCAATCTACTTGTATTATTCAGTAGTATATTTCTAATACTATAACTTAGCGAATAGCATGTAAGCAAGATGGAAGCAATCTAACGAACACGGTAAACTAGAAGACATAATCATAATCATCCTTTATTGTTTATTCGTGAGATACATTGAATTAGTTCTTGATAATTATCAGCTATGTCAATGTATACTTTATTTCATCTTTTTTTGACTAGATGGAAATTTCCAAAATGAATCCTGTGTTATCATCCAGAAATGATGGTCAGTTGCAATATGACGGTCCTAATCGTGGATCTATAGGCGAAACAATCAATGAACCGATTGAGGACATACTATCATCAAATAATGAATTTAAGCAAATTTTAATCAATTTCAGTGGTTCAACAGTTTATAAATATAGTGGATTGATGGGATACACGTAAGTCTCGTTGTTTTCATTGAATTATTCCGTTCGCATTCAGAATTTTAATTAGGATAAAGAGAAATTAGTTGTTATTGCATAGGCATGAAAACTGTAGGGGGAGGTAGCGACTACTGAATCATTCACCCAGTATAATGCAGACTGGTTGAGTGGACCTACCCGCCAATCGAGTCTTAATTTCTCTTCAAACACTGTTTATTTATCTCCCTATCACAACTTGCGAGTTATTATCAGGCTTCACCATCCACGTCAACTGCTGTATAATCATTCAACTGGTCAACTAGGGGTGTTTTCAATGACTAGTGAGCGGTCAAGTGTAAGTCAAATGGAATCAGATATGATGAATCTTTGTGATGTTGCACTGATGACGATGTCTAGCATAACACTGCATCGTTCACTGACTACACAGCAAATTCACCTGAAGATTCATCTAGATCAAATAACTGGTGTTTATTGGTTTGTGTGTTCAAGTGAAAAATAAAAACTGAAACACACCATGAATCGACTTTATTCTATAAACACTGGTTGAACTGAATGGGATACGGATGACTTTACTGAATATAGCGGCACATTTAAATTGTTCACGAACATCGGTTATTACCTCATCATCATTATGCGAGTTTATATAATTTGAGGGTTCCATTGATGAGTCATGAAACTCCCAGTGTCGGTCTATATAGCATCATCAGTAGCACAAAGTTCGGATAGAAGTCAGCTGTGAGAGATTCTCCGCAACTGGTTGAGTAGCTAGTCTGGTGACCTTGGGTGTGATTGGTTGTTTCTGCTATAATCTTGTGATTGTTGGTGCATTTATTTCGATTGCCTGTATTAGTGACGTGAGTTCGGACTTCGTTTTGATTTCTTATTGGTTGATAGAGTGGGTCAATTTCAGTATGTTAGTGTCAAGCTTCTAAAATCTTCCCGTCATTTTCCGTATTTTCTCTAACCATGATTTCCACACTTATCTACATGCGATGGTATAAGCGAGGGTATATTGTTACCCTTAACGTCCAGTCGATATTCATCGCGTAGACGAATAAGAGAGGATACCCACTCTATCTGACAGCGGTTTTCACGGTTGTAGCAGGTGATTTTGTAGATCACGTTGGGGTTGTCCTCCATTACGATTGTGTTTTATGGCCTAGATAACAAGGAGTGAAAAGATTTCATCGGTTTGTAAGCTATCAAGATTCTCAAACAACCAATCACACAAGCCAACAAGTCATTTGTCTAGAAATCCTCATAGCTCATTTCTTTCTGAAGTTTTTATTCATGTTGTTGAAGGTGACAATGAAAGAAGCTTCACGATTAAATCAACGAGTTCAGGGTAAACAGAACCATCAAATACTTCTCCTGAGGTACGAAGAATATTATTCAGCTTATCAGAACATCCACATACACTGGTTTTCCTGATGTTTTAGCTTGTAAGCTTCCATCGTTGGTTGGATTGAACTTATCGACTACGAATGACATGTGGGCTCCTATGCGGATCTATCATAGAGCCGGTATTTTCAGTTTTGATATTAATGATGGATATCAAGCCATAACATCAAATAATCATGCTTTGACCATCATATTAGAAGTGGTTGCCGTGGCTCAGTGGTCTAGTTACTAACGTTATGACGTTTGAAACAGTTGGTCCTTGATTCGTGTATTAGTTGGAACAACATCACTCAACAGGTGGCAGGTACGTCCAACTCATGAGTCCGAAATAGAACGAAACGTGTATGATGGATTCTGCTGCTAGCCACTATCCATCCTTAATATCAAAAGTGAATATGCACACACTCTCTAAGAGATGGTACTAGTCAGTCATAGTATTAGTATTTCTATGGAGACAATTAATTATAACCGCTTCCTAAACTCCCCCATTGCATTTTAACTTCAGTTTGTAGAAAATTGGATAAATTAAGCTTTGTTTTGTTCACAGACAGAATTAAATAAAGAAATTTATTTTTTTACGATTAACAATTCTAAGAATAATTTATGACATATACTACTATCTAGTAGTATCCAGATAAATAATGCAAGAGTAATTTACTCTTCATAAAATCTGTAAGCATTGGACTGTAACGTTTATTGTTTTCAGGACACTTAGATATATAGAGTTTGTGGTATCATACGTCTTCAGTGTTAAATACACTCTACCTATTTATTTCTAGTTATGTCAGAGGTCGAGTTCTGTCAAACTGACTACTCAAACCATCGATCGATCGCATCATCCATAGGTTTCGAGTCTTGGTGTGACCACCCTAGCAAAATGATCTGCTTCACTGATTGGTTTTCGATAGCTGATAAAAACTAGAAACTTGGTTGAACATTGTCTTTATTTTCTGTTTCGTTTTTTCAATGAATCATAATAATTTATTGTGCGATAGTTTTCTTCTTAGGGGAGGGGGGCTAGTAGTAGAATCCAGGAAACTCATTTTCTCCGATTAAGGACTCGATAGCTGGATAAGTGTTGGTGTTTTCACTGAGACTGGAAGCCAACAACCATCGTTTCAAGCCCAAGTGTTATCCACTAGGATACTGAATTACTCTAATCACTTCTTGTGAGACGAGTATTAGTCGTTGTTTATTGATACTTTTAATATCCACCTAGCAATTCCAACCGATGTAAGAACAAGAAATTACACGTAGCAATAAATCTTATTAACTATTGATAAAGCAACCTTTTTAAATAGTCCTTTTTGTTCTTCTCTCTTTTTCAAGGTCAGATTTCAATATACGACTTCGTTTACGTACAGATAAGATGGATGGATTAATCTTGTTGATGGTTGAACAGCAAACAGCTGGTCAAAGTGATCATCATCAACATCACCCCGATTCGTCATCATCACTGATTTTAAACCAACCTGTGACACAGATCACAACTAATTCCGAATTTGTTTCACTTGTTTTACGTAATGGTCGTATTGAACTTTTGCTCAATTTAATTTCATCCAGTAGGAGTCAAGATAAATCTTGGGAGAAGAAGAAGAATATTGTCAGCAATGAAGGTGATAATGGCGGAGTTAGCAATTCAGAATTTAATCGTCTCATGCCTATTCAAGCAAGACATAAAGTGAACGATGGAGAGTGGCATGTGATACAAGCAATAGGGTTAGAAAAATGATTCCATTCTTCTTCTTTTTAGAAAAAAAACCTTACTTCTACTTATTATGATGTATGCATGGACTAACTTCAGCTGACAAACTGCATTTTGCATAAGCGTGAAGTTCAAACTGAGTCACAGTCTAAAAAACAAACGGAAATCCAATGGGTAATCTCGTGTACGCTCGTACAGTAAGCAATGAGCCACACCTGTTGTGTGAGGGAAAATGATACCAACTTGCTGCTGAAATCTTCATAGATGGAGCTTGGCTCGGACACCTTACCCACACGTTGGACATCAAGTGCTTAGACCAGTAAGCTACAGTTAGGCCAAGTTACAAAATACCGTTTCCTATGTCTTAGATTGATTGGATCGTCCAATGAGTTAAGAAATCCAGCTGCTTAGTAATCTGTTATCAATGAGTATTTTTCATACTTGTAAACGATTTTCGTCTGGCAATTTTTTCTCATACTTCCTTGTAAACTTTCTGATTACGCATATTGTGGTGTTGTCAAGATTAAGTTATACGCAGCTGTGTAAGGTGTCCACAAATAATAAGAAGCGACTTATCGTTGATCCTGCGGAACATACGACTACTAGCAATTTTATCGTTCTTTAAGCTTCAGTCTTCTTCGGTACATTTCTTCATATGAGTCCAGCTGTCATCTTCAGTGCTTCTTTGTCGTGAAGCAGTAACAGACGGCATGTAAAGGGTAAAAACTTTAGCAAGAGAATTGAGGTGTCAGACTAAAACACAGTATTTTGATTTCAGTACTTATCCACGTTCACTTTAGTTCTCTTTACTCAGCTTGAGTGAATGAACCGAGAGTTCGTAGCTGTTATCAGAGTTTATCGTAGTGGTGTTCCAAGTTCAAGCTTAGTGAAAGAAACTTTCTAAATATGATTTTCCGAATCCCAATGCTTAAATGTTCTACATAGAGATCACAGACATTAGGTTCACTGAACATTATCGAAAAAAATAAATCGCAACCTGTCCAACCATTTAGTTACATCTTCATCACCTCTGTCTTATCTAAGTTCACCTGAAGTCAGTTCCGTCCTCGCCACAGGCGGCGAAATCCAAATCTTCTTCTGGGGTCTTTTCACCAGTCCAGACAGCTTATGCCCCTCTTCTCACAGCTCCTCACAGTTGTCTGTTGCATGATCCAGTCGAGTGCATTCGAGTCGACGAGAATCAGGAAGATGATCGGTGGTAGTAGGCGGCAGACTTGTCTTACTCCTGTCCCCTGTCTTCACTTCGAAGGCGTCACTGAGCTTTCCATTGTGAATGACTTGGCATGTAGCCCCATCATATAGCATAGCATATACCTGCTGTTGAATGAGGTTGATAAAGGCTTGTCACACTAAAACCGTAGTATTGAAGCAGCTACCTGCAAGATTATTTCTCGGTCGACGCTATTGAAGGCCTTTTCAAAATCGACGAAGTTGAGGTTGAGTTGAGTTGAGTTGGCTGCCATTCTGTACTCTGTTCTATGATGATGCGTAGCGTAGCGTCGCAGTTTGATCCACACATGATTTGTTCTACCTGAAGCCAGCTAGCCAGCCAGCCTGCATCTTCCGGTCGTAACTTTGAGTGCAGAGCAGTGTTTAATCTCTCCAGGATGATGTGGCTGAATACTTTGCTTGGGGTTGATGGGGACAGGAGCATGATTCCGCACCGTTTCTTCCAAAGACTCAGGTCTCTCTAGTTTGGGAGTTTGACAAGGTAGCCCTTCTTCTAATCAATCGGCTGGTACCTTTCCTTTCTTCCTTCCATCCGTCCAAACCTTCTTAACTAGTGGTGTGAGCATGTCCTCTGCTGTTTTCTCTGCGTCTGTTTTTAGTGTTTCTGGCGAAATACCATCTGGTCCTGTTGCATTTCAGCAACTTTCTGGCATTCCAGACTTCACTTCTGCTTTTGTCGGAAGGCTTGTGTTCACTGGTAGTTCTGTAGTTGGGCTGCTGGAAGTATTTCTGGACGAGTTGCACGTGGTGGCGGTGGTGGTGATGGTGGTGATGGCGGTGGTGGTGGTGGTGGTGGTGGTGGTGGTGGTGGTGGTGGCGTGGTCGATTCAAGAGTTCGTTGGAGTGGTCATCCATCTGTCACTCCGTTTCTCCTCTCTGGTGGCAACTAGGTTTCCTTCACTATCTTTCATTGGTTTCATCTGCGTTGACCTCTTCTCTCCCAGATAATAACCTGGTTATTTGGTTATGATGTTGTCAGGTCTCTGTCTCTGTCTCTCCTACCAGCAGCCTGTTCTGCTTCACTTGCCAGTGTGTCGTAGAAGTGTCATTTGTGTTTCCGTTTACTCTTCTTCACTTCTTTGTCCAGTGTAGTGTTTTATATATTGTGTTCAGTTCCTCTCTCCATTGTTCATCCCTGCACTTCACTCCACTGCACTCCACTGCACTTCACCGGTTCATATTCTGCTCCACCATCTTTCTCTCCCTCCTCTATCACCTTCCATGTATCCGTCGAGATCCATTCCTAGTCTTGTTTCCTCTTCCTATCTAACTCAGTTGTGCACGTTTCTCTCCACACAACTTTCAAAGAGTTCCAGTGTTTTTCCATGCAGGTCCCCCCCAGGGATGGGGATGTTGCTCAACGTCTCCCATTTCTCCCTGATGGCTGACTGACGTGAAGATGTCATATGTAGTTTCGTCCTTCACTTCAGTTCAGTTCAGTTCAGTATCGATTCTGGGTGTTGAACTTGAACTATGGTCGATCATCACCAACTTCTGTGAAGTCTTTCAACTTGATTTTGAAGGTAGGTAACTTTCACTAGATAGTGAGTGGTGTGAACCACCTACATCTGCTCCTCTTCTTCATCTGGTCCTGTGTCCAGTAGGCTCGCTGCCTCTCCACATTCTTCACACTGAAATGAAGTCGGTCTGATTTCGAGTGTAGTGTATCCTGGTGTCTGGTGAAATCAAATCCATGTCTCTGCCTTGTGAATATCATTGTGTTTGTACACACTGCCTCGCCTCCAATCACCAAATCGTTGAATGCTCACAAGTCTGTAAACAATTCTCCATTCTCGTTCATTTCACAAACGAGTGCTTCTCGACCCATGATCACTTCTCTTCCTGTGTTGCCCACTCCCAGTTTGACCTTCATGTCACCCCACCCATTAGAATGAATTGTGATGTCGCCATCTGTGGTGTGGTCTTATCTATTACTGATTGCAGTTGTCTGTAGGATTCCTGCTCCTTCTCTTCATGTGCATTATTTGTAGGTGTGTAGCGTAGTGTATCATTGTATGATTGTGACTTTCCTACCCTTTGAGTTGAATCTTGCTGTCATGAGGTTTATCGTGCAGGAGGAGATTGGTTGCCACTGTATGGGAGAGAGCCTTTGATGCTCTTCAAGGGGACATCATGATAGCCACTCGAAAACTCAGTGTGGTCGTGGTTGTCGTGTGGGTGGGAATATCGGAGTAGATTATTGACTCTCCAGTTGACAGTTTGGAGAGTCCACTTCCATTCCACCTGCAGATTCCTCACAGATTTCAGGCACTTCTGTGCCATACCTTCTCATCTCTTTTGGAATCTGGCAGCGTTGCCAGTCAGCTTGAAACATTTTGCGGACATTCCATGTCCCCGTTTTTACTTTTGCTTTCATTGAGAGAAGTGAGGACACATCGGCCGACTAGCTTCCTGAAGGCTTTCTACGACTGGCGTCATTTTGTCTCTCTGATTCCAGTGAGTAATACGTTTGTTTTTATTATTTATATTTTTTTGTGCTTTAGAGTTTCTTAAGCGATTGTATTGATTTTCGGGTGTAGAGTTTCTATCCACATTCCCAACCTTCACCTTTTATCCGGGTTTCAGACCGGCTAGTAACTAATGAACTATTTAGCCAGGCGTGGTTGTTTTAAAAAAACCACGCAACACTTGATCGCCATTATTCTTATGTATCAGTTAACTGAAAACTCATAGTAAGTGAACATTAAATGCTGAGTTGATTTTCCCGATTTAAGGCTATGCTAAACTTTCTTTTTATAATCTGTCTACTTAAAACGTGCAGTAGTATGAATATGCACAAATTAACTTTGTTCAGGTCTCATGAGAGTACACTTTCAAATCCACAGTCTGTTTGATCGTTAGCAAAATTAACGTGTCCCAGATTGATCAGCCTCAAAATTTCATGTTCTTTATCTAGGAGCAAACAAAGAGCTACACTGTTTGTTGACAATCATATGGTTTCTGGTGAGTTTTCAGGAATTACTGATTCTAACAGTGCACCGGTCAGGGATGTTTATCTTGGTAAGTCGGAAATAATTAGCTTTCACCTTTTAAAATATTTATATCATTCCCAGTTCAGTTTTGAATATACCGGGGAATTTGAAAACCGCACAAACTCTGTCTCATGTGAAATCCTGTCATTAGAGGGAAACAAATTATTAAAAGTCGATTGACAGATATAGTTCGTATTAGGTTTCATGATTGCTGTTAGTCAATTATAATAAGTATCTGAAAACTCAAATGGTTTTATTTCAGATTGTTTCAGATAGACTAATTAATTAGTTGTCATTAATTATAATTTAAATGCGTTCTAATCAAAAACGTCTGCGAACTATGCCCCATAACATTACTGGTAAATGATAATACTTGAGGGAAGGATGTCTCTCCGATTGTTGTCAATAGTCGAAAGGCACTTTCTGAAAAATATGAAATCTAAACAACGAGACTGGTAAACCTGATCATCAGATTTTACTGACTGAAGTAACGTACCAATTCTAATTTGGTCACGTATTTTGTAACATATCAAAATCATACTTCTGATACGAATAACTTTTCAAACCAGTATCTTTCAATCTCCAGGAGATAGGGTACAGATTTGAGTATGGTAAGAGCAAAAACAATTACGGAAATAAAATGGAGCACATTTCCTTTCACTGCTTTCCATGCATTAGCTACAAACAGCCTAAATCGAAGACGTTTTGATTTAATTGACAAATAAATGTTTAATATAATGAAACTGTTTCAGGCCGAGGGTAACTTGAAAATCCACGGTACGCCGACAGCTCAAGGAAATAAAAGTAGAAGCTAATAGCATACTACATAGTAAAAAATTAGAGTCGGACAGAAAGGAAAGAGTTATATAGCCACACCTATGTCTGGGATATTTAGGAATGAGTTTAAATCAGGGAGTGAAAACCGTAGAGGCAATAGGAATCAGATAAAATGGAGGTTATGCAAGGAAGTTAAAATACAGTTACCATGGTTATGTGTCTTTATATACGAAGATAGCATCGTAATTGTTTGAACGCAGCGGCTTCTACAAAACGAGGAGTTAATGCCTTAAAGAAAAGATGAGCATACTTTCAGTTGGCAAACTGTATTGTCAGCACGATTTATTTTGGAAACTGTTTAGTGGTCTCTGATAAAAGAATTATCGTAAACTAACGAAATATACTCCTAAACGACACAAAAAATTAGCAAAAAATCACTCTGTTCTGTAAACTCTCCTTGCTAGGTTAGCGTAAGAAGAGATATCCTTTTTCTTGTTTATTATAAGGTTAGAAAAGTTAAGAGTTGTAAGCTAGATTGACTTATTGAATCTGCCATACAGTGATACAGTATTCTTTAAATAAACTGATTACCAGCGAGTAAGAGATGCAACTGACTAGTCCTTAGTGTTATTACTGAATGACATCCTTGAGTGCTTGATAGGCATAAGAAAACTGAATATAAAGTCATCTATTATGGTTGGCTGTAAGTTACTTCACCCAACGTTGTAGTGTTATTGGTGAAAATGAAATCCTTAAACATATACGTACTCAACAACCAGATGCATATAACTTTATCTTTCTCGGGAACATACAATACACAGAACTAGGTGTTCTATGTCACTAAAGCTAAGACAGACAGCTGTCCTAAAAAGGTCCCCTCCTGACTGTTTTTCTGTTTTAGGCATCTTATAAAGCCATATTGTCCACATGAATGTCAAAATCACCATACATTCCAACTTTTACATATAAACAAACATACTCTATCTCTTCACTTAATTTCTCTTTTGATTAGGTGGTACGTTATCAAAAATCATTGGCTTATCACATGATTATCAACAGAATTTCACTGGTTGCATTGCTGATATGCTTATCCAGGAGAGGATTATTCCGATTCTTTCAGAAGCGACAGAAATATACGGTCCTATTGAAAGATGTCGAAATATATGAGAAATGAAGACAAATATGGGAGCAAATCACTTTGTAGGCATCATGCATAAACAAGAAAAGAAAAGGTTCATGATTCCAGTCATTCACCTTCCCTCTTAATGTATAAAAATATTAATTTCTTTACTTGTTTATTCACTTATTTATTTTAGGCCCAATTAAACTAACCCATAAGTAAAACCCAAAAGCTCATTAGTATCCTGAAAATATTTTGTTTATATCATCTGGGGTAAACATTTAAAATATTCATTAGATCATTGAAAATCATTTTTCGCCTACGTTTATTCCCCAAAGTTTTTGGTCTTACTTTTCTTGCCCATTAAGTGTGTTTTCCTTAGTTGATTCTTTTTTCTTTTGAATCATCCGCTCTATCCGTCCATATCGTTTAGTATTGTTTTACTGTTACCCTTTTCTTCGCCTTTTTAAAAACAAACAAACAATTTTCTTTTTACCATATTTTATCTAACCATTGACTACAATCGGAATAGCTAATCAAAATATTTAGGTGAGTTCAAATAATAAATGTCTGATTTTAAAGAAACGGAAAAAAACAATTAACTCAGCAATGAGTGTTCAATGTCCAATCGAAGTGAACAGTTTCGTTTTAAACAACTAGGTAGATAATTTTGACTCTATTTGTTTGTTTATTCAAAAAAATTTACTTCACGATTGACAGATTAGCGATTGATACAACTCTACATAAAAACGCACAAATATATGATTTTATCACCCGCACATACAGATACAAAGCAGTCAACTCGGTTTTTCGTACATCAGCGTATACATGCAAACTATTATTATTATTATTATTATTATTATTATTATTATTATTATTATTATTATTACTGTCATTATTTTGCATATTAACTGCTTTTCCTATTCATGAAAAGATATTAAAAAGTATTTTGCTTCAGTATTTTCCGAAGGATTTTAATCGTTTGTTATGTGCAAGAAATGAATAATTGAAAAATACGACAGCGTTTTATTGAATGAATTGAGTGTTGTTCAGTACTGATAACTGTTGTTATTTTGATGTGAAATTCACACAACATGGGTATTGAAAGGATTCACTACATGAAATAGCGGTAATAATGACATTCTGCATAAATAAAATCAAGACACAGAAAGGGTTGATAAATAACAAAATGATCAAAGCAGGAGTAGTAATCAAACAAAACTATTTTGCAAAAATAGCTAATTCCAACCAAATGACTGAATGATAACCTACTTGTTATGAGACCTGACTATTCTGGGCTGGGTCTCTTGCGAGATCTTAGGTAAGCATGGTTGAGGAATTCCAAAGTTGTGAAAAACAGCAATCCAGTCCTCACAAGCTTTTGGACTGAAAACGATTTTCAAAAATAGAGGACGCAAGAACATTTAGAGCTGCTTATCTAGTGACTTTAATTTTGAGGCATTTTCGGTAACCACGGAAGCTAATATTTCCTTCTATCCAAAATGTGGAGATTTTAATGCTCCGATGTGCTAAATCGATACACCTATCTTTCATTTCATATTATCATATCACAAAACGTCCACAGCTTTCTTTCAACTTGACATTATTAGCATTAGATAAACAGTGGTTGCTACGAAAACTCCTGGAAGCAAGTGTGAATTTTTCAAGCCAGTATTTAATGGATTTCAAGTGCCTAGTGTCGAAATGAAGTGCACAGTGACAACAAGTATGCAAGCTTGAAAACGTGACTGATAGGACTCTATCGTCACTCATCGCTAGATAATGACACTAGTATGTGTCTAATGACTGGTCAGTATATCTATTCCAGTCCTAGAGGAGAGAAGTCGTGACTAGAATAACTCAACAAAACATTTTCCAGTTACAGCACTCAGCGATTCGGGTTAAAATCAATCTGGAAGAAACAGTTCCCTCCAAGTCTCATATAATGACAAGCAAGCACAACGTTTAGATTAAGCAAACCATTCTGCCAACTCCATTCAACCATTTGGTATCAATACTCTACTTTATACATAATTGTTGAGGAAAATCGGTAAGAACTCTAAAATGCGAACTTCGGTTGTGTAATCTGTGATAAGTTTACTCTTTAGGTTAAGCGAACACCCTATTTATTCTTCTGTAGATACCTATCGTATGAGTGATGTCTGTATACCCTGTAGATTACTCATCTAAGACTGAAGTAGCTGAGTGTACCACTACAAATCCGTTGGGTATTCGTGTTTATATTAGAGTTGCTCCCATGAGAACCTGTTTATACACTTATTACGGGGCAGCCGGAACCACCCTGATGTGTCAGTCAATGATTGATGAAATATCGGCATTAATGTAAAGCTTCGATTGCATTTTTGTCACCTTGCACCATTTATGGCACCAGTACGATATTTGATTCACAATTTACTGTCGGGTAGACTATGTAGTAGTCAGCCTACTAGATGACTGTAAAACATGGAGATTAAAAGTGGAAGACAAGAGAAGGCTTCAGGTGCCTGACAACCGCTGCCTTTGTAGCATTGGCCATGTCGTGGAACTACCACTTTTTTGACGTGAAAGTCAGGTGCAGAGTCAGAGACAAGAGCAGTAGGTCATTTGGTCCGATAGTAAACTTTCATCATGCTAGCTGAAGTAGCTTTAGGTTGTAAAATGTTAGAGATGGCCAGATTAAACCATGGCACCAATTCATAAAATCTCTGACTTTTGGTCTTAGTCATGTAGTAGTTTGTAAACTTTGATATTGAGGTCTACGTGATAACTTAGGTCTAAAACTGGAGACTCTTGATGATATGGCTTAGAATTGATATCAGTGGTACAGACACATGTTCACCCCAACCGTCGTATAAAATTTCGTAGTTCTATCCATCCAGTCTCTTTTTCATGCTTTTCATCCTATTTCTGTATCTTTCCCTTTTCTGCCATGTTTCTTGATATCATGACATGCTCTGTAGTAACTTTTAACGTTACACAGTAATACCAGGTCCTATTTTGATATTGGCTAGCTAACTAACTAGAATATTTGAGTGCTTAGTTGATCCATCTGTCTGAATTACATATGAAAACAAGATTAAAGTTCATGTTCTTTTAGTTGTAATCTGAGTTTCGAAGAACTCTCCGTCCTGGTGCGTACTTTATTTTGAAAACAACACATTACCATTTACTAAGTGACCAACCTATGTTTCTTTATAAATACAGCTTAGTTACAACTAAGGAAATAGGGTAAGATATCAGTGATCAACTCCTAATCGACTTGTTTACATACTACAGTCCTCTTAACTATCACAGGATGAGTATAGACTAGTAATAATCTCTTTGAATAAAGCATTGAGCAGACTAAATTAAGAATGCAGAAAGAGGAATGCTTAGCATTAGCCGCACTGAGGCTTATCATAGGTACATCTGCCAGCCTACTTAACGAATTTGTACATAATTAGCGAGTTGTGCAATTATTACCATATTTTTAAAACTCATTTCCCGATGAGTGGTCAGGAATACGAAACATGATTCAGGAGACTGTTTTCAAGTGTCTTCATATAATTTAAAACAGGTAAACTAGAAGATAAACATGAGATAAAACCTGCTATAGCTGTAAAATAGGTCAGGTCAAGTAAAAATAGCTAGAGGAAATCATAAAAACACATACTTTTCAGTCAGTTCAACAAAAAGTCACTCAAAATCAGCTCTTCACTAAAGTTGATATTTAAGCGATATTTAGTTGTTTTAAGACAGGAAAAAAATCCTTAACAAGCCAAAGTAAAATTAGATTATAATGTTAAAAAGAAAGATAATAATTCATCGATGTTCAGTGCAATGAAGGCCAGAATAGTATTGCTGGAATTTTGTCTAAAACTATATTTTCAACTCCATAAACTTGAGATATACAACAATAATGATGAATTTATTCGAAAAAAGAACACCTGTTCGCTAATGATTTGATGTTTTACAAAAAGATATAAAAGTTGATACTCTCATCTACTACACGAATGATGCCAACGATGATAAATTCACATAGTAAGCGATACGCGTTTAAAGTGACTTCGTAAGACTAACTTATTTAGTTAGTGTAACTTAACAATCATATGCAGTTATATGCACAATGAAGGTAGTCACATCTGTTGTGTGCTTGTGTATGACTGTACCTGGTTTTTCAAACCTCAGTAGATGGACGAGGGTTCGAACCCGGTACTCACTAGTTAGAAGTCGACTATCTAGTCCAGTGAAACTCAAGTATAATAACATCCAAATCCTACCACGACCCAAATTTTCATTTCACTTTCAATCATCACTTAGCATCAATATTCACAATGTTGATGGTCTACGATGCTCTAAGAATATCTATCGTCTTCGGATGAAGCTAAATGGAAATTTTTAGATGAAAACGACTTATATAACGTCATTCGAAATTACAACTTAAGAAATATACAGAGGTCCACGAATACTGATGATCCTATGTTCAAGAGATCACTTGGTGACTGAAGTGAAACTGACTAACAGTTACGTCTTATACTTCAGTTAGTTGAATGTTCAGCAGGTAACCAGTAGAATAATGATTAGAATCCTGAAATGAACTAGCTGTTTTCAACTTCACTTATTTATAGTGCACCTTCCTGGCACCAAAATATAACTAAGGCTAAAATAAATAGTTTAAATTAAATTAACTAAATGAATCTCTAGCTTGCCTCCGGATGCTTAGGGTGTTTTAAGTTTTGTTTTAACGAGCATGCATCCGAGCAGGCTTGGACGCCATTTTGCGCTCCATTGTGCTGATCACCACGCACGTACTCCGAGTCCCTAGTTCAGCCTTAAAAGCCAGATAAGTTGACTAAACTTTTCCCCCTTTCAATATTATTACATTTACTTTAATTAAATACATAGCTCCTTCAAATACATTGCGTATCAGTTCTTTTGATTTGTGTTTTGTTATCAGTACTTACACGTTAGGTAAAGTACTGGTCAAGCAGGTACTAGAGCACATCAAGTTAAGTAGGGTTGATCAAACGTTACGGAATTGTAACACGCACCCCTACATATTATTCGG